CGCCCTCGGGAGCCCTCATCTGAGAATCCCCGCAGCGGGCATCCGGGCTTGGGACCGCCTTCCCCGTGTCCCCGTGTCCCCGTGTCCCACCCCGCGAGCTGCCTTGACTTGTGCCCTGAGGCGCGGCCTCGTCTCCAGTTGTGACACAGTCTGCCTGCGTGGGACTTTTAAAACATGCACGCTGGGCGGTTTCACTTTCCAGTCAAAATCCACCCATAGTCCCATCTTGTCGCTTCCTGTGGCCCTGGATCCAGCTTCCCCGTGCCCACCAGGGAAGGGCGAGAAGGTTCCTTCAGCCTCCAAACAGCCCCAGCGGCTCTCCCTCCCCGGCCGCCAGGAAGGGGCTTGACCAGTCCCTCCCAGCTGCCCAGGCCACTGGGCGCCAGGAGCCTGGCGAGAGACTGTCACCGTTCCTTCCTCTGAGGACAGTGTGAGAACTGAGTCACAACCGAGGGAGACAGAACATTCTAGTCCTCTGTTTGCGGTGAGTCCTGTTGGCTCATCTGTCCTTTCCAGGCCAGAGGAGGGAGGTTGGCTGCTGGGCACAGCAGGGGAGGCCTCTGCTGTCTTTCTGTGACAGGTGCCCTTGCTGAGCCATGACAGGAAACCCAGCTAAGTGACCAAGCAGTGAGGGCGAGAGGAGTCAGGCCTGAGGCTGGCAGGTGCTGTCCCCTGGGCCCCAGAGGTCCTTGCTCTGCCCAGCCAGTCACCGTCGGTCACAGCATCATCGGACCTCTTGCCCCGCGGCGTGATGTGGGGGGCAGAGCTGACCCCCAGGCCCTAGAGCTCGGACAGCCCTTCTCTGCACAGAAACGCGGCCTGGCACCCTACGTGGCACCCGCAGGAGCCCTGGCAGCCACAGACACGGTCAGGGAGATGGGAGGGGCTTCGGGGAGCAGCCCGGCGGCTCCACCTTTCCCAGACGGGACGCAAGGCGCGGCACCCCCAGTTTATCCCGGGAGGCAGGGACAGGACAGGGGGATTCGTATCTGCTGCGGGCAGGGCCTGCCCACTGGGTGCGGGAGGGAGGTGGGCCCAGCACCTGGGCTCCGTGGTGCTGGACAAGCGAACAGTCACAGAACATCCAAACCGGAGCTGGAGGGCCAGGCCTCGCGCGCCCCGCGCCTTGGCCGGGCACAGCTGCCCGAAAGCCTGGTCTGCAAGGTGCCTTGGGCCTGTGCCCCCCACCATGGCCCTCGCTCCCCGGGGGCCGTCTGCACACCTGTACCCGGCATTGCCCTGGGCAGGTTCCCGGCCCGGTCGGCGGCCAGCGCCAGGGCCTCGGTGAGCACACGCGGCCCACTAACTGCGGGGGCGCAGGCGATGGGGAGGCCGCGATGCGCAAGGCCCCGCCGTGGCCGGGGTCCCGCGGGGAGGGGCTGGCGGGAGCGCAACGTGCTGGAGAGGAAGTCAGTTAGACCTTAACTTCTCGCTCGGCGTCCAGGGTCCCTCCGACCTGCTCTTGGAGCAGGGCGTACGCGCGCTGCAGCGCCTGGTACTCCATGGTCAGCTGCCGGAACCGCAGCTCTGTCTCCTCCTTGGCCATGCCCTGGGGGTGCAGGCACGGCGTTAGCGCCCGGCCGCGGCCAGAGTGAGCCCCCCGCCCCAAGCAGGCCCACCTGAAGCTCCGCTCACAGGGTCAGCGGAGCCCACACTGTGACAGGTGCATTCCTCCCACGGCCTCACCCTCCAGGAACCCCCTGCACAGTGACCCCAGCACCGCCTTCCAGCTGTAGTGACACCTGCAGCCCTGCAGGGGGCGGGAGCTGCTGCCTTCTGAGGCCCTCCTGGAACCCCGCGGTGTGCTGCAGGCCGGCGTGGGTGGGCGGCTACGTCCAGAAGGACGGCCGGGAACCCTGACCTGGCCCAGCTCCCCGGCTCCGTCCTGCTCCCCGGGGCTGGCGGTGGCTGAGGTCTCTGGCCAGGTCCGTGACCATGGAGCATCCACCAGATCTGCCAGGAGAGGCCACACATGGCCTCAGGGCCCCAGGGGCCTGCTCAGGGCTGTGGACCACTGGCCACTCCTTGTCCCCAGGCCACAGGGGCGGAGCCGGTCAGCACAGGCTCAGGTAGCCTGGATCTGAGGTGGCATGCTTCAAGAAGGGACTGGTGGGCAGGATGCCCTGGCTGTGTTTTTACTGGAGACAGAGCCCGGCCGCCCACGCATGTCCAGGGAGTGCCCGAGGCGGCGGTGCTGACTCATGGGGGGGTGTCAGCCCCCCTGCACCACATGAGAGGGCGGGTGCTCTCTCTGTGCGTCTGCAGGGGGCACTGGGCCCTAAGGGGCTGAAGCACACGCTCGGAGGGAGCATGGCCAGAGGCCGGCAGCAGCAACGGGGAGTGTTTCTCACGGGCAAAAGCACGGACTGCTGGGGGCACAGCCAGGGAGGGCACCCGGGCCACCTCTCCAGGGAGCAGCCGCCCAGGGCCGCCGCGGTCACCTCCTCCAGGTCATCCTCCGGTGTGCACGGGGTCTGGTCCGTCCTGTCCGTTTGGTAAGAGATGGAAGAGCCATCGGACTCCAGGGAGGCCTCCTCGTCATAGCCGAAGAAGGTCTCCACGACAACGGGCTTTGGAGGAAGGGCTGTGTCAGTCCAAACCCAGGTAGGCGGAGCCGCTGGCCCCGGCTGTTCCCAGCTCCCCCGCCGCCCGGCTGCAGACCAGCTGCATGGCTGCACCCCCAGCACACACCCCTCTCCATCCCAGCTGCCCCGGGGTCTGCTGGGTGGCCGACCTCAGGTCAAGGGGTCCTCCTGGAAGTGGGGCTGGGGGCTGCGAGAGGCAGTCCACCCTCATGGGCGGGGCACTCTGTGGGTCCCAGGGCCATGGCCCCGAGTGACCTCTGTGCACACGACAGGACACAGGACCGACAGGAAGTGCCGGCCCAGCGTTTGGCACGTGGCCACTTGTCTAGCAATTCGTTTTTGTTGTGTTTTCAAAAACATCGTCCTTGGCAGGCTGGAACGACATTGAAGCGAGCGCAGAGCGGGTCGCCATCAGCTAGCGTGAGGGTCCTGCCCGAGGGGCGCCATGGCTCACCCCTGGCTTCAGCAACGCGCCCCCACCCTGGCCCCGTCAAGTTCCAGCCCATGGACCGTCCACCGGCCACCGAGGCTGGAGTCCTCGGCGGCAGATCCATCAGCCAACCTCCGGCCCTCAGCCCTGGAGCCCGTCCCACTCACTGATGGCACCTGACTCACTGGCCTCTCCCCCGTGGATGCGCCCAGCAGCGGGGCCCAGGCGGGGAGGGCGGGCCTCCACCCGCGAGGACCGAGCACCTAGCTGTTGGGACCCCGGCCTCAGATAACCTCCAGATACCCTGAACAGCCCGGAGCCTCTCACGCCTCCCATGGGCCTAAGGTCCAGTCATGGTGCCCAAGGGACATCTAATGGCCCCCTGGGGACACTGCCAACGGCTCATAAACCAAATCAAACACGCATGCTGTGACAACGCACATCACGTCAGGGCCTTGGGGGACGTCCCCCAGACCTCCTTTAACAAAAGTCACGCGTTTCCCAGAAAGGCCTGTGCCACGGAGAAGCCCCACCAGGCGGCCCAGGAGGGGCCTGCGTGGGGCCCATGGCCACAGGTGCTGCGGCCTGCGGGTGTGGCCCGTCAGGGTGGCACAGGCCGCTGTCCTCAGGGCCGTGTGTCCCAGGCAGAGTCCCAGGCGGGGCGGGAGGAAGGCCAGTGTCCTGCGGCCGACCCCTCCCCGCATCATCATGGCTGCGAGTTCATATTTTCTCTCGGGAATCAAGAGAAATAAGGTTGCATTTTTTGCTTCGGGTCCTGTTCTGGTTATTTCACAGTAACCGCTTTAGACACGATGAAGTCACTTTCTCCTCTGAAGGCAGAGACGCGCCTTGGGTGGCTCCTAAACGCGTGTGTGACGGGCACCGCGCCCCCGTGCCCCCGCACCCCCGCTTACCTTGGGGAGCTTCGCCATCTTCTTCCGCTGTTTCCGGTATCTCAGAAGCTTGTCACGCTCCTGCGAACACCCGTGGGAGACGCCCTCTGAGTAAAGGGGCAGCTCTGTCGGGTTCGAGCGCTGTCTTCACAGGGCCGTGTCGTGTGTGAGGGGAGGTGGAGGAGGACTTCGAGCTGGTGTCCTGTCCCCATCGTCATCGGCACATGAGACCCGCGCAGAGGACGCGCTCTGCCAGCTGGAAGGGGTGACCTCCCGTCTGGGTGGCTCGACTGTCCCCTAGCGCCCTTTACGTCTGGGTGGGTTGGGGGCCCCGTGCGGGGGCAGCAGATTTGAGTGGCACACACGGACATGGTGCTTGAGAGGACCGATGGCCCAGCCCCCTGCGTACTCCCTGAGCGGCTGTCCGCAGAAGTGGCACCCACATGTGTGGTCACAGACCCCACGAACACTAAGGAGACCAATGGCCGGTTTCTCTCCAGGGAGCTGGGCTGCACTCGCGAGCCTGAGACAGGGAACCGACCAGGTCTGGGTTGCAGGTCCCTGCCGGCGGCGCTGAGAGACCCGTGCTGAGCAGTGCCAGGGAGGGGTGACACCTGGCCTCGCCCGGGTAAGTAAACGTGCTGATGCGTGGAGCTGGGTGTTCTTGGCCACCATGGCTAAGGCTCTGAGCAGGCAGCACTGTGGTCACAAAGCCCACCCAGCTGCTGGCATGGCCGCTTCTGCCTGGACCAGAAGGAGCCACTGTCTCGGGGGGGCTGCGGGGAGGGGGCTCTCAGGGACAACGCCCCGGATGGCGCATGAGGGCAGAGTGCCGAGTGGTACTTACTAACACGCTCTTGACGTAGCCGGCTGTCTCCAGGGTCTAGGAAGAGAGAACAGCATGTTGAGCTGGATGGAGCATGACCTTGGCCCGGCCCCCGGAGGCCTGAGGCCACCCCAGCAACCACGTTGCTCATGCTGACCGGAGGGTACTACTTGGTCCTGGTGGCCCTTCCTCCCTCCCTAAGCCGACCCCCGGGGCACCGCGACCGGGCTCAGGGCGAACGCGCCTCCGGGACGGAGCAGGGCAGCTGTGGCTGGCTGCTTCCTTTTCCTAGTCCCTCAGCAGCTCTCACTGCTGTGGGACCGACGGTCACTGAGTCGTGACCAGGACGAGCTCAGGTCTGAGGCCACCCCGGTGAGACCCCTTCCCGCGGCCCTGGTGGCAGGCGCGTCTCTCTGCCTCGTCTCGAGTCGCTTTGCAGGAGAATCCACTCGTGAAATCAAGGCAGGCCAGCACTTCTGGCCACGTGCCCCACCAGCGACAGAGAGGGACATGCCGCTCTGAAGTGGTCTGACCACGGAGTCGGCTGGGGTCCCCCCCGAGAAGCAGAAGTAATTGGAAGAGGATTTGATGAGGGACAATCTGCAAAGCTGTGCTGGGGCGTCGGGGCACAGGGAGGGGACGCTGCAGGCGGCCGGAAGGGCCAGAGAGGGGCCTGCGCACAGCCCAGGGCCTGAGGCTGGCACCTCAGAAACAGGGCCTCTGCAGCCAGGATCGATCAGGGATTTAAGATGAGACCGTCCTGGATTAGTGGGTGGTGAGTGTCCTGGAGAGGAGGCAGGGCGGGGAGGGGACAAGGGAGGGCGGGGGACAGAAGGGGCGAGGCACAGACAGAAGGCCCCATGAAGATAGGCCGTGGGAACAGGTGCTGCCCCTGAGCTCCAGGAGGGGGCGGCCCCGGCAGCACCCCGGTCTCGGATCTGGCTTGCAGAGCCGGGAGGGGAGAAGTTGCTGCCGTTTTAAGCCCCCAGCTGTGGTCACGATGGCCCAGAACCCAACAGCAGTGCAGCTGCAGCCCCCGAAACGTGGGCCGAGGCGGGGGGAGGAACAGTTTCAGGGAGGGCCAGCTCCAGTGACGAGGCTCAGGGACCCAAGGTGGGCTCCAGGGAGGGGCCAGGGAGACAGACAACCCCTGGGGGCAGCAGAGCTGGGAGGGGACAGGAGCTTGACCCTGACTCCTGAGCCCGGTCACCTTGGAGAGCTCATCTATGAGGTTCTGCTGCTCCAGAATTTGAAGTTTCAAGAAGTCTGCTTCTCGTTCATCTTGACTTTGATCCAGGTCATTCAAGGAGCTGGGTCTCCTTATGATCTCGGCTCTTTGTCTCTGCAAAACCAAGCAGGCCGCATCGTGACAGCCGGAGTGGGTGGTCCGACCAGGTGATTGGGAAGCCGGGGGCTCCTGCTCGGCCTGCAGGTGCCCACGCAGCCCTGCCCCTGCTCCCCCTGGGCCGTGGGGCGCGGGGGCGTCTGCTCAGGCCTCGGAGCAGCTTGGCTGCAGAGCCCGGGAAGCTGAGGCTAGGTCTTGGCAGACCCTGGAAGCAGGGCAGGGCCGCCCCGCGCCCTCCTGCGGCCCCCACATCTGCCGCGTTAGTCCTCGGCTAAACTCTCACTCACGGCCTCCAGGGCCCAAGGCCAGAGGGAACACAGAGGACACCAGCAAATCACCGCCCACGGCTGAGGGCAGGAGTGGAAGCTCGCCGCCCTGGCCGGGGCCCGCCTGCTTGCTCCTTCCCTCCACGTGGGGCCCCAGGCCCTCGCCATCTGTCTGCGGGGACAGAGTTGGAAGGTGGCCCGGAGGGCGGAGCAGGTGACGGCCTCTGCGGCCCCCCTGTTCCACTTGGCTTCCACACTCCGGGAGCACCCATTCCCTTGTCTGAGGCCCTCTCTCCCAGGGAGCCAGCCTGCGGGCAGTTCCTGTCCCCACAGACGCAGGTGACACCCGAGGCCTGGCCAAAGGTCTGGCTGGACCTTGTCAGCCTTGTGCATGAGAAGTGGAGGGCCTCTTACCATTTCCAGGTTTTCCTGGGTGACAAATTTTAACTTGTTTTCCATTCGACGTAACGTATGGGACAGATCCTCGTTTTTCCGAGTGAGGCGTTTATTTTTATCCAGCAATGGCTTGTACTGACTTTCGGCTTCTCTTAAACGCTTTAGCTGAAAGACAAAATTACAGAGTGTGGTTTTTCTAGTTGTGACAGAGAGTTGTGCAGAGTTAGCAAACTGAGCAGAACGAGCTTGGGCCACAGATGGGGCCAGTAAGAGCTGCGGTGAACTCGCCTGGCTAGGACCCCCACGGGCTCTTAGAAAAGCTTTCTTCCGGGGGACACAAGCCACTCGGAAATTTCAGGGGCTGTGAGGACCAACTGGGATGGTGCCACCGAAGGGCGAGGTCTTCACATAGCCCAGGTAATGTGCAGAGCCAAGGACACTGCCACCCAGTGACAAGGAGCAGGGAAGAGCCAACCAGCGCCTGATGCCCACGTTTGACCCCGACCTGGTTTTGTGAATAAAGTTTTATTGGAAACAGCCGAGAGGCCTAGATGCAAACCCCGCCCTTGTCACCATCATTCCTCCCTCCACGGGGGATGTTGGACATGGGTGGCTCAGCCCCCCGGACTCGGCAGCCACAAGCCCATAGGACCCGGCAGAGCCGCAGCCCCGCTGGCCGCCCGCCCGCCGCCCTCACCAGCTCGTTCCTCTCTTCCGACAGCAGCGCGTTCCGGTCCTCCAGCTTCCGAATGATCGCGCTTAGCTCTGCGATTTTAAGTTGGAAGCGCCGAGCATCCTTTTCATCCAACTGCTGTTCCTAAAACAAGAATCAACTGCAAATAACTGTTCGTTGCAACAGACACAGAAAACTGCAAATCCCAACACACCACAGAAACCGAAGCTCGTCTTCGCCATGACGGCCCGGGACTCCGGGTGGGCGGTGGGCGGGGGGACCCCCCAGGGGCTGGGCCTCCGTGGCACAGCAAACTGGACGATGGGGACAGAACACGGGAGCGGAAATGTCTGGGCGAATGCGAATGTGGAGGGCGCGGGCATGCAAATGCGGGTACCCCAAGAGGGGGGGACCCGGAAAACGTCGGAGCCGGCCCCGTGCTTTGCTCGGCCACTGCGGCGGCGTCTTGCAGGGAGGGCTGGCCCGCGCTGCAGGTGGGGTCATGTCCTGGTGCTACAACGTGACCCCAGGAAACCTATTCAACTGTGACTGTCAAAAGCTGCTTCCCCAAGAAGTGTGCGCCCCTGGATCACGTTTCTGTAAAGTCCCTAGAACTTCCCTCAAAAACCAGTGGCGGAGCTTCACCCCCGTCTGCCGTTCTCTCTGGGGGTATGTAGCACACTCTCTGCGGTGCCTGGGCAGGAGCTGGTTCTAATTCAGTCAGCCGTTTACAGGAAACGCATAAAACGTCAGTTTCTCTTATTGAAACGTCACTGTTCTCGGGCTGGCTCAGCTCACACGCGCTTTGTCCTAAAGCAACGAACGCGTGTCCGGAAGGGCTGAGGAACGGTTCCTCACTCAGCAGGTGCAGGAGAGGCAAGGGAGCCGGCCCAGAAGGACTGCACGGAGGGTCCGTGGCGTTTAGATCCTCCCTCCCCCAATTTCCCAGGACCACTCCAGAGGGCTCTGAATGAGAAGCAGCAATGAGACAAGCAGGGTCACGGCCGGGCCGTCCTGGCGGGCCCAGGAGGAGCAGGAAAGTGTCATGGTCACATGGAAAGCAGGCAGGAGGGTCAGGGGTGCGGGTGGCAGAAACCATGGCTGGGGTAGAGGCTGCACGAGGCCGGCAGGGAGCCAGCCTTCCCAGCAGAGGGCGCAGCCCAGTTTCCCACAAACCGAGGCAGGAGCCAGTACCAGCCAGTACCAGGGACCTGGCAGCTCAGATGGGTTCCCGCTGGAAGCCCAGCGCCTGGGGGGGGGGTGTCCATGGCAGGGGACCAAGAGGAGGCAGTGCCACGTTAGCGAGGAAGGAAGGAGGACCCAGTGTGTGGCCCTCTCAGCCAAGCCAGGGGTCCAGGGCCTGGGCGCGGGGCTGCAGGCAGGGTGGGCACCCCCAGGGTGGAGGGCTCTCTGGCTGTGGGTGTGGCTCTGGGCTCTGGGGACAGCCGTGTGCGGCGTCTGCCCGCAGCTCGGGGCCAGCGGGCGGGGCAGTGCTTACGGGGCTTCCCGGGTGGTCGGAGGCGTCTCCTGCACCGCTGGCATAAGGAAGCTCCCGTCTGGGGCTGCCCAGGTGCCGGTCAGCCTCTTTGACCTGGGACAGCTGCTCGTCTAGAGCCTCCTTTTGGAGCTGCAGCCTCTGAGCGTGCCCGGCTTGCACCCCTAACTCTCTCTCCAGCACGAAGACTGCTCTGTCCTTAAATTTCATCTCCTCCATCTACAAGGAGAAGAGAACACCATCACACACGCAGGCAGGGTGCAGATCGGCAGTTACCATGGAGACGGGCGGCGTGCGCACGCATGAGGGCGGGTCCCCAGGCTGCGGCCTGCAATATCTCAGGCCAGGACCTGCGCAAAGAGCCGGCTCCGCCTGGCCGGCCGCGGGCGCTGGCTCCTGGGCCCCACGCAGCCCTTCCCAGCCTCCCTGGGGTCTGGCAGGGCCGCGTCTCCTGGGCGCCCTGCGGGGCCTCCTAGGCAAACGGGAGAGACACTGTCTGGCAGAATCCACCTCCAGCTCCTGCCAGGCACTGGGCAGGGCAGAGCCCCCCGAGTTCCCTGCCCCATATCAAGAGGACGGTGCAGTGATTAAGTCCGTCTTAAAACTGGCGGGCTGCGAACGGGGAGAAGAGGAAGCCTCAGCCTGAGAGCTTATGCTGCTCTCCCCGGGCGGGGGGCGGGGAGTCCATGCAGGAGAAGGGGGGCTGCTGTCCCACTGTCCGCAGACAACGCTGCGTTTCTGATTCATTTGGCCTCCAGCATGAGCTGAGGGCGTGGGGGCATGACAGGCAGCCCCAGTTGGGGAGCCAGGAGTGCTGGCCCTGGCCCCTCCCCCCAGGCCCCACACCCGCAGGGCTGGCGGCTGCGCGGGGCCCACAGGCCTTGCTGCTCTCTCTTAATTGCAGCCTCCAGCGTTCAACCTGCTAACACCTAGAGGAGCCACCTGCCTCCCAGCGGCCACAAGTGCCTCCTGGGCCACAGGCGGGCCTGGTCCTGGAGGGGAGGGCGAAACCGACCCGCCGCTGCCCACTCCTCAGACAGACGGCCGGGCGCGTGGGCGTTCCTACACACGCACTTGACTTGCAGGAGGGCTCGGTTTAAACCGCGTTTCCCCACCACGGAGGAGGACACGGTGTCCTGCTGCTTCGACTGCTGTTTAAAGTTCAAATAAGCTAACAGATCAGCCATCTGCCGAAGTCGGCTTGGAAACAAAGACAGGAGATGTCTAATTAGCCCAGACCTCAGAATTCAGGGGCGAGCGGTGCGCTGAGCAGAATAAAGGAAACCCTTAATTGCTAAATTCCCATTTGCTGGAACAGAAACGCAGAAAGAGGCAACACAGCCAATTAGTGAAAGGAAGAAAAGAGGCCATTGACAATAAAATCAGATTAGTAAGCGGCTGCATTCTGTGGCTTAGCATTTACTCTCACGCACACACTTCCAAAGCATCATTTTTCTTCCATCAGAATCCGAGGAAACCAGTCACAACGCGCACACCCCACTTAAATTGGCTACGGAAGCCCATGGGTTGCGCCAGAAGCCAGCCTCCCTGAGAAGTCACCTAACGCAGCCAAGTTAGGCCGCGAGGGGGTTGCGATCCGCCCACGAGGGAGGGGGAGGAAGGCTGTCACAGAGGCACAGGGCTTGGTTCTTAAGGACTGAAAACTCCCTTTGAGGCCAGCGACAGGTCTCCCAGTGACAGTCCCTGCACGCTGAGTCTCTCACGTGCGGCGTCTCGACCGAGAGTTCTCAGCCAGGAGCACGGTCCTGCACGTCCTAATCCCGTCACCGTCTCGTGTCACTTCCTGAGGGACCCGTTCTGAGTGCGTCGTCGTGCGAACACCACGGAGGTCCGTGCACTAACGCGCACGGCCGGCCTGCTGCGCGCCGGGCGGAGGGCACAGTCCGTTGTCCCCGCGACACCAGCCTGCACGCCGGTCACTGTGCTGGGCGCTGCGGGCAGCTGTGACCCGGTGCTGAGTACCTGTGCACCAGACACTTCCAAACGCAGAGGGGGCAGGGGGCGTGGCGTGG